TCAACCCTGAGCACCTGCAGGTTGTCCTCTCCCCTCTCCCCTTCTCTTCCCCCTCTCTCCACGTGGTCATGGCCGGCCTCTATCCTCCACTTCTCTACTCTTCTCTCTCTCCTCCCGCTCTCCCACTCTCTTAATAAACCTCCCCTCATGGAACCATCTTGGCCTGCTGTGATCCATACAAGCTGCGCTGTAGAAATCCTTTTACAAGGGACAAGGGCAGGGCCAGCCTAGCTGAAACAGGAGTGAAAATGGAGATGGGTGATTAGAACACTGCAATCAAGTGCGGCGGTAAGATTCTGCACATTCTGCAGGTAACGGGCGGGAGGTTTGATGACCTCCACTTCCACTCATCCTAACCAGAACAGCTCCCTAGACCCTGTATCGCTTGCCTCATAAGTCACCATGCATTTCAGGAGGCCAGCTACAGGGCTGATTTTATTTACCACAGACTCCAAGGCCTGAGACAGACACTGGCATATGGTGGGGCTTAATAATAATAAAAAGGTTAAGTTATAATAGCTTAACTTTTTATATAATCACATATGTATTCATTTCTTTTTTGTTATCCAGATCACAAAAGCTCAGTTCTTTTATTTTCCTTAACAAATTCCATGAGATGCAAGGTAAAGCATTAGGTGACTTCTCTTCTAAAAAGTGCCACAGATGTTAAGGCCTGACTCCTTCAAATGGGGACAAGGGCTCTCGGCATTTGTCTCTCAGCAGTTGAATAGTGTTTTTTTTTATTATTATTAAGTAATTAAAAGTTTAACTTTTTAAATTTTGTTTGTTTGGGTTTTTGTTTGTTTGTTTTTTGTTTTTAAGGAAAAACCATATGTAGATATCTTTTTTTTTTAAAGATTTTTTTTTTCACTTATTTTATGCATGAGTACACTGTCGCTGTCTTCAGACACAACAGAAGAGGGCATCAGATTCCACTATAGATGGTTGTGAGTCACCATGTGGTTGCTGGGAATTGAACTCAGGACCTCCTTAAGAGCAGTCAGTACTCTTAACCACTGAGCCATCCCTCCAGCCCCCATGGGTGGATATCTAAGCATAGGAATGTCTAAGCTATCATCAATAACCAATGGAGTAAAACTGTCAATAACCCTGCAAAATCTCAAAGGTCTGTGATTCCTTTGTGTTTCAATCCTGTTGTTTCATATCATGCTCACCTTCCGTAGCAAACTGCTCCAAGTGTTTTAGGGTGATTTCTTTATACTTTGAAGTCTCTGCGAGTCGTTCATAAATTACTGTGTCCTGGAAAGTAAGCAGAAGGTTTGGTGGATTAATTAAGCACCCTGAACTTAATAAAATTGAGATCAGCAACATTATTGGTTGCTGTACAAAAATCTCCCAGTGTTTCCTTTTAAGCACAGAATATTTTTGTCTATGAGTAACAATGATTCCCCCAAGACAGGAAGGAATACAGCTGGACCTGTGAGTTCTGCATCCATGGAATCAATCAACCACAGACAGAAAATGTCTTGGCTTGTAAGGTTGGGTCTGCAGAGATTATGCACATTTTTTTTTTCCTCGTGATAATTCCATAAGCAGTATGCTAGTACTTTTTACATGTTTATATTTCAGTTAAGAATTGTAAGTCATCTAGAATTGGCTGAAAAAAAAACAGAGAAGGAACTGGGCCTGGTGTCCTACATTTATAGTGGAGGCAGGAGGATAGCTGTATAACATACAGACAGAGCACTATCCCTGAAGGTTTTGTAGAATTTTGTGAGTTCTATTTAGTGGAAAATGGTCTAGAACTAAGGGAATATTGGGAAATGCCGGCCTGACAAAGAGTCTGTCTTATGCAGATCCCCCATGAGCTAGAGCCTCAGTGGCTATAATATGTGTATAAAATTTACCCAGGTTTAGAACCTTCCAGGGATAAGAGCACCTTTGGAGGTCTGTGCTATCAGAGGGATAAACCTGAGGCACCAGTGGACCACCAAATGTCCTGAGATGTCCTGTGGGGACAGAATGAGAACCTACAATCCCCGAGCTGCCTCAAACAGCTAATGTCTCTGACTGTGTCTAGCTTTAAGACTTAACTGACTTAATTTGTAAAATAAAATTCCAGAATTGAAAACAATATTATTTCTTTGATATTTCCACACAGTATGTTTTGATCCTATCAACCTCCCCCCGAAACCCCCCCCCCCACCTATTTTAAAGTCCTGTTGGCTTTAGTTTCATGCAGTGTTTCTATCTCTCTTCTCCTTCCTCCTTTATAAATGGCCTACTGTTCCTTTAGTTCTTCGCTGGCTTTGGTTTAACATCTCAAAGAACTTCAGTATTCAGACTTCATGACTTTTTATTAGACCAGGAAAAAATAAATCATTTACCTGCAATTACTCTCTCAGTGGTAGTACCCACTGTGGGGTTTCTAGTCTTGGGGCTGAGATTTGGAAGCTGACTAATGGAGTATGATTTAGAGCCCTTGAGAGAAACACAACCAAGTGACCTCAGAGCAGATGGAATATCCCAAGCCCCAATTATGAATTTCTTTTCATTTTTCAGTGGTGGGATGGGAAGGAAAACAGAGAAGGAAATGACAGTTTGCAATCATGGCTCCTTCCTGGGAGGAAAAGGAGTAACTTTGGGGTTCTTTTTTTTTCTTTTTTTTAATGTTCATGAAAATTTCCATGAGGTTAACAGAGGCCATTTTTAGAGGAGGAAAGATCTTTAAAACGTTGAAAAACAGAAGTGGTGGTAAGGAGGAGGGAGGCTAGGTTCTGCAGTAAATCTAAACATACTGGTTCTTAAGAGGGTCAATTAATTGTCTACATTCTTTGTGGTATTGAGGAGGCGAAGGGAGGAAACGTGGCCTTCTGTAGTAAATGTGTGTTTTCAAATGACAGTCACAAGTGGTTGGCCATGCTTGTCTGTGAAAAAAAAAATACTTAAAGAGATACGTTTGGGGACACAAAGCCCTCCTTTATTTAGAGGGCTACATCAAGAGTCTGCCACATTTTCAGGAGTGAAAAAGAATCCCTTCATAGATACTAGAAGAGGGACATGCCATCAGGTCAGACTCTGAATTTATGGACAAAGCCTTAGGAGTTTGGTTATCTTGTATCTTGGCCTTCAGGGGAAAAAAGGGTGCAAATCCACAGTGACACCATATTCTTTGAGATAGCATGGTGCAGCCAAATGCCTGTTACTGTGGATGGGATCAGGGCTTTGAGGAGAGTGAAACCCATGGTTAATCATTTCTTTTTGGTGAACCTTTTTGTTTTCCTCTTCCTTTTTATCTTTTTATTTTATTTTTTATTTTTTTATTTTTTTTGGAGACAGGGTAGGGCAGGCTTTAATTTATTATGTAGCTGAGGATAATCTTGAGCTCTGATTCTCCTGTTTCTATTTACAAGCTCTGTGATTCTAGGCATGGGGTACCACCTCTGGCTCTTACTGTGTTATACACTAAAATTCAAATTCAGTTCTGTATTTAAGAAGGTATTTTTATACATGTGTATGTGCAGGTATGTACACATACGCATGTGGAGGCTACTGGTCAACCTCCAGTGTCATTCTTTAGAAGATTCAATCTTATTTTTGTGAGACAGGGTCTCTTAATGGCTTGTGGGGCTTGCCTGTTGGCTACATCAACTATTTAGCAAGGCTTAAAGATCCTCTTGTCTCCACCTCTCCTATGATCATAAGCTCATACTATTTAGTTTTTACTTCTACATGGTTTGTGAGGATCAAACATAGGCCCTCATGCTTATAGGCCAAACTTTTTACCTACTGAGATATTTCTCCAGCCCCACCCAAAATATATTAAAGAAAACCTATTTGCATTTAGTTCTTTGTGTAGGGTTGAAGTCTAAGGAATGCTGGTAGTAGAAGAAATAGTCTTCCTCAGGAAAGAACACACCAATTGGTTATTAAGTACCAAAAGGCCTGCCCTAAAAATAAACTGTAGTGGTTTGAATCAGAATGGCCCTCATAGGCTCACATATTTGAGTGCTTAGTCATCAGGGTGTAGAACTGTTTGAAAGGATTAGAAGGATCAGGAGGTGTGGCCTTGATGTAGAAAGCGTGTCAATGGGAGTGGGCTTAGAGGGTTCAAAAGGCCACAATAGGCTCAGGCTTGCTCTATCTTTCTGCCTAAGGATCAGAATGTAGCTCTTAGCTGCTGCTCCAGTACCTGCTTGCATGCTTCCATGCTCCCACCCAGGAGAATGCAACCTCCACAACTGTAAGCAAGTCCCCAACTAAATGCTTTCTAAGAGTTGCCTTGGTCATGGCGTCTTTTCATAGCAATAGAACAGTAACTAAGTATATTCATGTAACATGGCATAGATTGAGAAGGTTATAGTTAGGAATATATATATATATATATATATATATATATATATATATTAATATATATATAATTAATATATGAAAAAAGCCCATGAATTTGAAAGAGAGCAAGAAGAGGTATGTGGGGGGTTTGGAAGGAGGAAAGAGAAGGGAGAAATGATGTAATTATTATGCCAGCTGAGTGTGTGGAGACCAGAGAACTTACAGGAGTAGGTTCCAGGGATTAAACTCAGGTTGGCGGGCTTTGGGCAAGTTCCCTTATCCACTGAGCTATCTCACCAGCCCATGGCACGCTCATATTTAAATATACACAACCACTTTCTGTGATAGGCTTTACTCAGAAATAACTGAACTTTGCCTCAGATAGGGTGGCGAACTACTAAAAGCAGCTAATTTCAGATATGGTTTATTTTGGATATAGCATAGAATTTTAAGAGACACCTACTTTGAAATTATTAATCGCTTCAGGTTCCTGTAGCTCTCACCTGCCTGCATGCTTCCATGCTCTCCACCCAGGAGGATGTAACCTCTGCAACTGTAAGCAAGCCCTCAACTAAATGCTTTCTAAGAATTGCCTTGGTCAGCCGGGTGGTGGCGGCGCACGCCTTTAATCCCAGCACTTGGGAGGCAGAGGCAGGCAGATTTCTGAGTTCGAGGCCAGCCTGGTCTACAGAGTGAGTTCCAGGATAGCCAGGGCTATACAGAGAAACCCTGTCTCGGAAAACCAAAAAAAAAAAAAAAAAAAGAACTGCCTTGGTCATGGTGTCTCTTCACAGTATACTTTAGTCATTTAAGGTTTCTGTAGGATCAAGTGTGTTAGTCAAGTTTCTCAAGCCTTCTGTGGTTTAGAGTAAAATTTTTGAATGAACTAAAGTTTTATTTGAGTAAATGGTACTTTAACTGGCTACTACTGTAGATATAAATTGTAAACTGTATATGCTTCCATTTTTAAATTTAAAATTAGCAAAACAAGGTATCTTTCTTACAGAAACTCTTAAGTCACTCTATTACTTTATACTGTACTTTACATGGGATTTTCAGTACTCTTTTCTAATTTACTAACTTTACTCTTTCCTCAACTGTGTTGAATCTAGAATTCACTCTATTTATTGATTTTTTAAAAACTGCTTAAGAGTTTGAATTCATCTTGCATATATACCAGATACCTTTCCCAATTTCCTTTTGAATGAAAATAGTTCTCGAACTTCTTTATTTACTACACTGAGATTCCAAACATCCTGAGGTACAGTGGTCTACACAGATGGTCTAGTCTGGAGCGAATCCATGTTTCTCGGTTGTGATGTTCACTGCTTCCTCTGGGGTGAGATTTCCACATATACCTCTAGCTCTGGATTTTCCTGAGTGCACGCCAACCTCATGGTTTTACAGCTTGAGCAGGGACTGGCATGAGCTTTCCTCAGCCACTTTGCATGATTAGAAAGCTCAGCACTTTGGTCTTGGCCTCAGAGTAGGGGTGCTGGCTTGCACCTGAGTTCTCTAATTAGACTTAAGGCCAGCTCAGTAGGAGGGAAATCATGCCTGGTATTAGAAACCTAGCCAACTCTCTGACACTAGTGGTGTTTCGGATCTTAGAGGAGAACCTACTACTGCCACAGTTCCTAACTACATTCTAAAACTTAGCCTTATATGAACAGCAAAGTGTAGCTGTCATCTCATATTAAAGAAGCCTTTTTTTTTGGTTAGCAAACCGATGCCATTACAGAAAACCACAACCGGTCATAATACAGAAATCAACAGATCATGGGGAGCTCAGCCCTAGTAGGTACATTTACAACACAACACCTATACCTAGGGCTCAGGGAATATCATGGAAGAGGCAGGTAGAAAGATTGTAGGAGGCAGACAACCAGGAAGTTCTGCTGTGAGATTGTTATCCCCTAGAAATGACAGGGAAGCTAGGCGTGAAACTCATGGGCCCTACCCTTAGACAAAGAACTACATGCAACCAGGGGATGTGGAGAGAGGAGCTGGTCTTTTTCTGGTGCATCTGTGTGAATGTATACCACATGGTTCAGGCACCCCTGGAGGCCAGAAGTGGCTCCTCTGAAGCTGTGTGCGTCCTAGGAACCAAACTCCTGCTCTCTGGAAGAGGAACAAACACTCTTAAGCAGTTGAGTCATTTTTCCAGACAAATTTACTGCAATTTCTTTTCCTGGGAAATCCAGGCTTCTGCACCTGATAGCCCCTTGTGTAGCCCCCAGCCCTATGTTGATAAGTGGTGTTAGTCCACTCAGCAAGCCAAGTAGAAATCCCCAAATGATCCCTGATAATCCTTTCCCTCAGCACCTGGAAACATCAATTACCAAGTCCTAAGTCTTCCTCCCTGGTCTTTCCTGTGCCTGTCTCCATCCATCCCCAGCAGCTCTTGCCTGGAAGAGTTGATAAGGCTTCATTGGAACCTCTGCCTGTCTCTGTTTGCAGCCCTCAAATCATCTCCCCCAGTAGCATGGAAGAAATACATGCATGCTCTTCAGCACAGGGATGGAGACAAACCAAACCTAACTCATCAACCAAAGGCAAGTCATACAAACCCTTCTGCCTGGTTCATGTTCAGTTACTCCACATCAAACTACAAACTACGGTTGTCAGGTATTCCTTGCTGTTTTCATGTTTAAGCTTTTTTAACTACTTAATCCTATTTCAGAGAGGGGAACAATACAACATGGAAGTTAATATGTACAAACAATCTCTGTGATTAAAAATAAAAATCCAATTTTTTTTAAGTTTCTGCTACTTTAATCCCTCAAATAAAAGTTTAGCAGTAAGAATGTTCAAACTTTTTAAAAAAGGAAGCATGTGATTTGGGTGTGGTAAATCAGACAGATGCCAACCATGGAAGCAGTTTCTTTTTATTCTCTTACTGGGCTTGTTGCACAGGAAAGTGGAAGATCTGACTTAGCACCACAACCTAATCACCTTTTTATGTTCTTCCCTGGCTAGACTTAAGTTCTTGAGGTGACATAGGGCTTATCTTCACTTCTCTAAAATCCAGCTCAAAGCCTGGAGATAAAACATTCAGGATGAATACGTGTTAGACGTCCTAATCAAGGGGAACAAAAAAAAAACTCAAAGAAACTGTAAAACCAAATTCAGGAGACATCATGAAATAATTCTACCAAAGTGCTTCAAAAACCTGTGGCATTCAAAAACTGTGTTTCAAGGCTTTAAAACCAAGGAATTTAACTTTCTCAACAGGAATTTCAACAAAAGAGTTGGCTTTCTTAAGTTTGGCTTCCCAGTTTCCATGGGACAGAGCACAGTTATTGAATCCATTTGAAATTGGGAAATTCCAAGCTGAAATGTGCAAAGAGCTTACTAGGGAAAGGGCACCTCAGGAAGAAAATCCTAACTGATCTTAGCAAAAAGAATGGCCCTGGTTGGTAGGCTTCTCATTTTTCCATAAGTATAAACATGTTTTAAATAGGAAAATTGAATTGGAATACACAATACTATTTCTGCCAATATAACCTACTCACATACTGAAGCTAACCAACAATCGGCCATCCTGTAATATTTAAGACAGGACAAACAAGCCATACAAAACGAGAAATCACAGTGATAATTGCGAGCCAACCCTCTCTCCATTTCTACGGTCTTTAGGCAAGTAGATTAAAATTGGAGTGTGTCATTATATTCTAATACAATTTAAAAATATTTTCTGTATTTAGTCATCTGCTAACATAGCTAATATAACACAAACCTCAAATATCATGTATTAAAAATTGAATTACAAAAGTACCCTATGCCAGACTTTTTCAATGCATCAGATTTACCCAGAAGGAATTCCACATTTCACCAGCAGAGGCTGAACGCTCTTACTATAAAACACCGACAAAAGTGGATGTCATCAGCTTCATGTAAAACATCTGTGTTACATTTCCATAGCGGGATGCCTAACACGCACATTATAAACCATCATAAATCAAAACCATAAAAGGCAAAAGGAAAAACTTACAGCTCCTTTGCAGTAAAGCTGTAACTTCCCGGATGGAGTGCGAACCACCACCGACATCCTTTTCCTAGCGCTGAAATAAAGAGATTTTCCATAATGGGTCATCATATTGCAGCTCTACATGGACATGTTTTTGATGTGTTTCACATATTTTAATGCTTGCAGTGAAAAAAATTAATCTGACCAAATTATGAGCCATATTCTTCCATATATACAAATTATCTCCTGAGTGTAGAACTGGATGCCTTGGAGAGTTAACATTTTATTTTTTTTAAGTCACCAGAGTATCATCTACTGTCCTAAAAGAATAAACAAAACAGTTCCCCAGACACCTGTAAGAGTTAATACCCTCTAGCGTAGCATTGTGTTTAATATGTTACTATTTGAAAACTATTTGAGTTATCTTAGTAGATGAGTTATATGTCTCATTTTAAAAATTAAAAACAAAAAGGATAATTTTAAATAAATAAATAAATAATTACAGATGAAAGCAAATGCTATTACTTTAAGAAACAATATAAGCATTCATTATTGTTTTTAATGATAGCGTCAGTCTCCTGATTGAGAGGTACAAACCAAGACCCCAGCAGATGCCAAAGACCGGGGATAGTGGGATAGTATCAGCCCAATAATATGCTTTTCATATATATATATATATATATATATATATATATATATATATATATATATGTATATATAAAATCAATGTTATATACCTATAACAATGATTAATTGTTAGATACAGTAAGCATTTAACAACAGCTACTAAGAGAACAATTACAATGATAAACCTTAGTATAAGGTATTGGAAACTTAAGAAATTGTTTGCTTCTAGAATTTTCCATCAGATATTTTCAAGAGTATATCTGCCTATGAAGAAGTGACGCCACAGCCAGAGTGGAAATACTGTACTTTACCAATAAAGTAAATGTGTCTCTTGTATACATGTTAACTCAATCCTTCTTGATTCATGTTGCTCTTACTTACTCCAGTTCTGACTTAATGGTCCCAGACTCATCAGTTTAGTTCCCCTGGCAAGATATCTAAGGCTAGGAACCCTCTTCTGAGATCCATCAGAGTAAAATGGCCATTGGAGAGAAAAGTCAGATGAATAATATGGAGACACAAGGCAGAGGTGCTCTACACTGACCACCCGTACATTTCATATATCTATATGAAATATAGATATATGAAATCTTCCATCCTGTTTTCATGACACAAGGGAGAAATATTTCTGCTTTTATCAGAGCCCAAGCTTAGGCAGTGAAGGAAACCATAAAAAAACCAAAAAGCTGGTGAAAATGTAATCAAACAAGCGGCCATGTTCCAGCTCCAGCAAGCAGCAGAACTTGGCAACTTTGGCCATGTGGTTCTGGCTTTAAAATCAAGGACAGAAGAAAGGGGTTATGGAATCTCCCTCAGCTAAGGAAAGCTGTTGAGGCCAGGAATGTATCCGGGTGTCCCTGCACAGAGGCCTAGTGGGGCCACTGTGTGAAGCTGTGACAGTGAAAGCTTGGATTGTCTTGGAGACCCCAATACATTGGAGATGCCAGAGCTATAGGATATCCGGCAAGTAGAGCTGTTAAAGGGAGTGGAACCAGCCCAAGAGAAAGAAGTGTGTTGCAGTCAACAGAGATGAAAGGATCTGGAGAACTGAGGAGCATTTTGACATCAGACACGGAGATGCAGTATCTGGAGTTTGCTCAGCTGGTTTTGCATCTTACTTTGGTCCAGTATGACCTCATTGTGCTTCCTTCCCTATGCTCTGGGATGATAATGCTATGTTCTGTACCATCATATGAAGTACGTGATCTGCTTTTTATTTTGATTTTACAGGGAATTATAGTTAAGAGATTGCATGAATCTCAGAAGACACTTTGAACTTTGGACCTTTAGGCAAGTTTGAGATTGTTATAGACTATGGACTTTTGAAGTTGGATTGAACACAGTTCTGCATTATGGTATGGCTACAACCCTATGGAGGTCAGGGAGCGGAATGTGGTGGTTTGGGTAAGAATGCACCCCTCCTCCATCCCCAGACTCATGTGTTTGAATGCTTGGCTCATAGAGAGTGACAATATTAGGAGATGTGGCCTTGTTAGAGTTGATGTAGCCTTGGTATAGGAAATGTATGATTGTGGGTGTGGGCTTTGGGGTCTCCTGTGCTCAAGCTATGCCCAGTGCAGCACACAGTCTTCTTCTGCTGCCTGCAGATCAAGATATAGAACTCTCGGCTACCTTTTCAGCACCATATCTGCCTGTGTGCTGCCATGCTTCCTGCCATGATGATAACAGACTAAACCTCTGAACTGTAAGCCAGCCCCAATGAAATATTTTCCTTTATAAGAGTTGCCTTGGCCATGGTGTCTCTTCACAGCAGCGGAAACCCTAACTAAGACACCTCCTGGCTTATGACTGTTGTCTTACAGCCTCACTTTCTCAGTAGCTTTGTTCCAAAGTCACACAGCTCTCCCACTAATCTGTCCCTTTCCCCTGATATATAGATTCTGCTTATCCACAAGGAAGTGTCTCCTGTATAATACCTCACCTAGCCAGGCACCCTCCCTGTGAACCACATGGCCATTTTAACTCTATCGCTCAACTCTAGGTGAACTACGTCTCTCCACAGGCTCTCCTCAGCTCCCTTCCACGCCCATCTTCCCACCATCCCAATGACAACTGCACAGATCTTTTTTCAAACTTCTCCTTACTTACTTAAGTTGGCAGTGCCTCTGAACAGATAACCAAGCACTCTTCTTGGGATTCCTTTCAGCTCTGGGGCTATTTATCAGTCTACTTTTGTCCTGTGTGTCTTTAACCACAAAGCCTTTATTTTAAAGATGCCTTCCTTTCCAACTCTCTTGCAATAGTTGCTCATGCTAGCCAAATACTTTATCACTGAAGTTTACCCTGCAGTCCACTTCTTATTTCAAGGCAAGTTGTTAGGAAGTGGCCAACGATGGCCTTAAGCTTCGTTGATAGCCCAGGGAAGCCTTGAACTTGTGATCGTCTTGCTTCTTTTCCAAAGTAGCTAGAGTTGCAGGCCTGTGCCATCAGATTTGGCTAATTCTTAATTTGCAATCAATCATTAATAGTTAGAATTATTTATGGCTCAGCCTTCCACTTTCCCCTTGATTTATATTTTATCTTTAGAAGATCCTATTGACTTTCAATCTTTGAGTATCACCGGTAGACCAGTGATTAACAAGTGGGTATTTCAGCCATAGCTTTGGCTTCATGTCTCAGGTTCTTATATATAATTCCCTGTTGGATATGTCCATTTGTATGTCTCACAGACATCTGAAACATAGTGTTTCCAGAGATCTCATCCACCACATCTGCTCCTATTCCCATGTCTGTCATTTACGTACAGGGAATTTCCACACACCCAGATGTTCGTGCTAGGATCCTAGCCCTCCTGTTCCTTCTCTTTGTTCCCACCCCACCCCTTTGATCCAAAGTTCCACTGACCTCCCTTCAAATCAGTGTTAAAAACAAACAAACAAACAAACAAACAAACAAACAACCCATTGACTTCTCTTCAATTTCACTACTGTTATCCCAATGGAAACTGCGCACATTCCTGGGGACTATTGGAAAGCATGGAATTCATTCCCCTTCCCATTTTTAAACCCACCCTCACTACAGAATCAAAGAGCTGAAAGTCACCTTCAGAAGGTGATTATCTCAGGCATTGGCTACCATATCAGAAAGCTGGCTAACAGACCATGGAACTCTTAGCTGATTCTGTATCTGTGACTCAGGTCACTTTAAAAAGACTTCTTGAGCCGCCAGCAGAAGTCATGTAGTGGTGAACTGTGAAGAAACCTGTGCATGGCCTATCTACAGAAAGTACTCGAAAACTGCATGGAAGATCTTATCTTGCTTAAACACACAAATAAAAGTAAAGCATAGATTCCAGCTATATATAGGAAAAACCAGTAATGGATGCAAATGTATTTTTCCCCACATGAATTACAGGGCAAATGCATTTACCTGGTGAACTCTAGGACATTGAGCAATTCATATCTTTCTTCCTGCCCCAGCTGTAGAATATAAGAATTGGAAATATTTTAGGATTCTTGGAAATAATCACAGGCAATAAAATTTATTGTAAAATGTCAACATGAACACAGCTTCCCTTCACCCTTTCTGAATTATTGAACAGAATTCACTAAATTTTCAGATTAATGAAAAAAGTGAACAGTAGGAGAGAGTTCAGAAGAATCTCAAGTGTCTCAGAAACAGGACTGAGAACTACTGAGGTCCAAATGGAGAGCGTGGGACAGAACTGCCAACAGACAAGATTATCTGTTGTGACTGTATGACTGTCCTGAGGTTACTAACAAACCCATGAGCCCATGCTCAAACAGTCAGAAAAAGAACATGAAACAATAAAAAAAAGGTCAAAACTTAATCTTTAGGAAATAATAGAAAAATGTATTTTTAAGAAAAAAAAATTGAGTTAGGAAAGAAATAGTTTAAAAGAAAAAATACCAAGCACAAAGATGTTTAGCTATGAATATAATAGAAGCACTAATAATAATTTTCAAAATGAGATATCATTTACATTAAAGAAACATAGAGATCTTCAGTGCAAACTGTATAGTTTGATAAAGGTTGGCCTGCGTAAATACCACTGTGTTGAAGCTGTAGAACATCTGACCCGTAAATTCCGGTGTTCCATTTCCAATCAATCTTATCCCTGCCCCAAGGCGATCACTGTTCAAAATTCTATCTTTATAAATCACATCTGCAAAATTTCCAGCTGCACACAGATGGACTTGTAAAGGCTGCTTTCCTCAGTGCCTGTCAAGTCCCCTCTTCTACGATTCATCCACAGAGTCAAGAACTCATTCTTGTTTATTGTTTAGATGGTCAGTTGGCCCCCTGCCTGCTCATCCTCTCCTGCTGATGGGCATTCTGTTTGTTTCTGGTTTGGGGAGACCATGGCCACAGCCACCACAAACACTCTGAGGTAAGTCTCCAGTGGACACAACTTCCTTTCCTCCTCAGTCACTGAGAACTGAGTACAGATCGAAGCAGGCTTTCCTTTTTTTCAGAAAACTCTTTAAAAATGCACTACCATTTGCTTCTGTGAATACTTTAGCCTCTGCAGTGACAGCATAATCATGCCTCTTTATGTTTTTGCATGTTCTCAATAACTAGCCATGTAGCCTGTCATGTGGTCTGCCGTGTAGCCACGTGGATGTCACCTGCTGTCATGTATCGGTTTAGAACTGCCCACTTAAAAGCATATCCTGAATAATTATATCTTCGTTGTTTGTTATTTTGAGACAGGGTCTCATGTAGCCCAGGCTGGCTTCAAACTTGCTATGTAGCTGAAGCTGGCTCTGCACTCCAGATTCTCCTGCTTCCTTCCTCTCAGGCCCTGGGATAACAGGCCTATATACTATGCCCACCCCTCTGGATACTTACATAACCAAAAATTTAATAACGGTTGGAATCTAGAGAAGAAATCAATGGGAGGATGATTCAAGGGAGCTAAATCTCCATTTATTAGAAGAGAAAATCAGTAGATATGTCTAATTTGGAAGAATCAATATCTACCAAGTGTATTATCAGCCACGATTTTGTTAAGTGTTTAAAGACGCGGACGAAGGATGACAGTGGTGCTCCTGAATAGGAAACGTCAGTTCCCCTGTAATCTTTTCCTTACTGCCTTTGTCTCTGAAGCTACGTGAATGTATTACACAGGTTTTAAAAACCCCTTAAAACACAAGTGACTTACTGAATCTATGATGACAGAGTCAGGAGTTCTTCCAGTGAAGACAAAATTCAGTTGCTTGGCGGCTCTGACCAGTGCTCCCTCATCTGTGGCAGGGAACAGGAGGAAGAAATAGAGGACAGAAAAGTATAACATATGCAAATAGAAGGACAGTGACAGTTTTCTGCTTGGTTAGAATCCGTCTCATTCTGCTCTGAAATCCATTCTGTCTTATATATATGATGACACCAGAGAAACGAGTATCATGTTCCTGAACATGTCAGTTATCCACTGTCAGTTGGTCACCGACTGTCAGTCAATCACCCACTGTCAGTCATCCACTGTCAGTCAGTCACCCACTGTCAGTCATCCACTGTCAGTCAGTCAGTCAGTCAGTCAGCCAGTCAGTCACTGCCAGCCACACTCATCCATTGTCAGTCACCCACTGTTAGTCGCCCACTGCCAGTCATCCACTGTCAGTCATCCACTGTCAGTCAGTCACTGTCAGCCACACTCATCCATTGTCACTCACCCACTGTCAGTCACCCACTGTCAGTCATCCACTGTCAGTCAGTCACCTACTGTCAGTCATCCACTGTCAGTCAGTTACCCAATGTCAGTCACCCACTGTCAGTCAGTCACCCAATGTCAGTCACCCACTGTCAGTCAGTCACCCACTGTCAGTCGCCCACTGTCAGTCATCCACTGTCAGTCAGTCGCCCACTGTCAGTC